ATTGAAAAGAAAGATAATGATGTAGATAAAATACTAAAAGGTAAAAAATAATTAGGGAGGTACCAGTCGTCACACCACTCTCCCCATCAATCTAGGGCATTGATCAGAGGGAAAAATAAAATCGTGGGGTGTAGAGTAACCTGAGTAAATATGTAAATAGCATTTATAACGATATGAGCAGTTGACTGTTGATAGAAATTTCACGCTCCCCACGATTTTATTTTTGCGTCTGGTCAATGCCCTAGATTGGTGAGAGTGTGACTTGTACCTAGGAACTATCTAATTATTGTTTAGCTTTTAGTACATTATCTACATCATCATTACCTTTCTTTTCTATAAAACCGTTTTTCTTAAAAAAAACTCCAATTTTATTTTCTAGTTTATAATTTTTGTTTCTTGTTCTATTTATTGCCTCATTATTTACAAGAATTATTTTTTGTCAATTTGTTTCAGTCTAACTCCTCAATACAAAATCCTTCCAAAGACTTTATTCAACTCAGTGCCACGTAAGCTTGTCCTTTCTCAAACAATTTCGAGCCTAAAAACCTTAGAATATAAAGTAGTAAGGAAGGATGGTTACGCCAAGGTCAGTTAACGGGGATTATTATCCAAGATGGCGACTTGACATTAGTATTTACCAGTGGTGTATCATATTTATATTGTTTGAAAGTGTAATATTTTTTGAATAATGATAATTTCCTGACCGTAGCATCTTTTTATTTCACATCATTGTGAAATAAAAAGATGGCGTTCTTTATTTTAAAAATTTTGAATTTGTTTGTATTTATCCCTATAATTTTATAAATTAACTGCACTTGAAGATGGAAAAATTTGTACTTTCCGAAACATATGTAGTGTGCTAAACAATAAAAATAAAAACATTTGACCGATAAAACCTAGGAAAATTTTTATCTATATGTAATATTTTTATTAGATTAAAAATTCAGTACATAAAACAAAGTCTTTATGAAAGGGTATAATTATATTTCAGGATTTTACAATTTAACTTTATTTTTAATGATTTATGAAATTTTTACCTGGTCAATTATTTGGTTTGATGATATTGGATTAATGGAAATAAAATGTAGTGTAATTGCAAAAGATCTTAGATACAGTCTTGCCCAAGGTTTTCTTAAATATTCGTTTAAGAATTTCTTTATTATTTCCAAATTTTTCCACATTTTCTTCTTCCTCCATAATCAATTTTTTTTAAGTTCCAGCATTTATTCTCTTTAAAGATTTGCTGACTTTCCGTTGTCTCCATACAGTTTGCTGTTATTTCCTTAATTTCATATTCTCGACTTCATTCTGTGCTTCCAATTTTCGGATTCGTCTTTTGAGCTTCTTTTTACGAGGGCAATCAGAAAGATTTTCTTCTGACTCTATATGTATGTACTACTTTGTTGACAAACAGAAGGTCACTTAACTTATTTCATTTGTCTAGATACAGGTCACAATATTCAATGTATGTGTCGCTATCTTTAATGGAAGATTCAGGAAACGTGTCTTTAAAATTATTTGTTACAGGTAGATTGTGATAATAATGGTAAAATTCTTCAGGTGTAGCAGCACCTGATTTGCAAAGTTTTAGTAAATCTTTCTTTTGCACTTTTTTGTAAGTATTTTCAAAGCTTCTTTCACCCTTTCAGACATCCCTCTGAATAAATACTGTTCGAGTTTGGCATATAAATTAAATCTATTTTTCTGGTAGAATATAGTTAGGATAGCTGCTGAATCTTCGATACAAATTATCTATTAGAAGGTATGATCGAATTTCAAATTCAACTCTTACAACTGATACTTTTATTTATGAAGTTTCACCAAATGAGTATTTTTTTTTTCATCACATGAATACGATAACTTATTCACTATTGTACATCTTTTAATTGTTAGAAATTCAATCACATATCCCTTTAATTTGTAATACTTTGGGTTAGAAATGATAATGCCAGTATGGCTTACAAAATAAATGGCTTGGGTGCGAGAAGCTAGTGTTTCGGTAATTTGAGAAATGCTGGTGTTCGTTTTAACACGTAAAAAATATAAAGACGAGCGTCAGCATTTGCTCCTTACGGCTTGACCAATCACTCGTTACAGCTTGACCAATTACTCGTTCACCACGGCGATTCGGACATCACGTGTTATTATCTATTGGTTTTTGAAGGATAGCTGTATAGCTCAAAGAAAGGGTAACGTAATCACCTCGTGGAATATGGAACAACCGAGAAAGGCCAGAGACGGCTCTAGCCAAAACAAAACAAATGGCATGAGCAATGTTGAAATTATTCAACTAATGCTTTAAACAAAAACAAGTGTACTGGCCAAGTTGTAAACCACTCTCGAAATACTGGTATATTTTTACTTGAAATCACTACAAATTTTTTCGAAAATTCCGAAATCATCATAGAAATCAATTCGACACTCAAAACTGTAAAAGCAGAGCGAAAATTAAGATGCCTTTTCAGCGAAATCACCGAAATCATATAAAATTAATTTAGGAATTTCCTAAATACGGGTACGTTTTGACCTTAGTGGTTTCCCCCTCGATTTTGGCCTTTATCCTGTTTTAGCAGAAACACTATTAGGAATCGGACTAAATATAACTATTTAGCAAAAAAAGCTGTATGTCTATTATCTGGTTTTGGTAGACACACTATTAGCAATTGAACACAATGTTATGATTACGTTTCGGTATAAATGTCACTCATCGTGTTTGTACATATTGTGGAGACGAACGTGTACTTAACTCGAAAATTTCAAAAATGGAGCTATCTTGTTTTTGCAGTAACCTCACGTCAAAAGTTTATTTAAAAATAAGCGTGATGTTTAGCTCAGCAACCGATGAAAGTTTTCGCACATTTCGCTCAAAATTTTAAAAACGGAAACGTCTACAGTTTTAAAAAGCACCTTCTTAATAATAGTGTTTTGGGTCGAAAAAAAAAAGCTTGGAGTGCCGCATGCGACCCGCTGCCGCAGATTTAGTATGGCTGCTCTAGAGCGTCCTGAAGAGAGACATGTTTTGACGTAGAGAGGTCACATTCTCATGCTTTGCACTGCCTTCATTTCGTGGGCGCTATGGGCCGAAAGGATGTTCGTATTATCGTATTTAGCATTATACCTAATTAAATACACTTTACAATAATGTATTATTTGAGTCTATAGTTTGACAATTAAGGGAATGGCGAGTGCTCAAAATTGTCTAATGTTTGTAAATTTCATCAAAATAACTCCTATTTTGTTACACTTTTAATTTCCTAAAAATAAATTAGAAAAAAATGCTTTCCGACAAACAATTAAAAATGTAGTCTTTTTTATGTTGCCAAAGGATGTATTTTTAATGCGAAAACTGTATAACTGAGATGCAATGGAAGGTGTGAGGTCGTAACTAAGAGTTCTGAAATTTTGTACTTAAATAAATGCGGTGAAGAACATATCAGAATTTAAATTGAATCGTATGCTAGCTTGCTTCGTTAATAATGAAAAACTGATTAAAACAGCATTTTTTGCAATAAATTTGTAACAAAAGGTCAGATGGGAAACTTTTGTATATAAAAAATGTGAAGAATTGAATTTATCTTTTCTATTTAATTCTTTTTTTTCGAAGTTTAATACTTTTAAAGTAAGGTATTCACTCTCTTTACATGTTTTTTTACGATTTTAATTTTTTGTGTACAAAAACTGCCCAGCGCCTCATGAAGAGTTGGTACTAAAATGTCTATTGCCAAAAATGCATTATAGATTTTCTTATCAATAATTGTAAAAACGGGGAACATTTTTTTTATATATACACTGAATTAAAGATTATCCATCTTCTCAAATGTAGTAAAGTTATTTATTTACAAAAAAACACAGCATACGTTCGATTAAAATTCGGATACATGTTTATCAGAGCATTTATTTAACTATAACTGCAAAATTTCAACGCTCTATAACTTTTAATATTTCTGACCTACGGACCGCTCACCTTAAATCGCATCTCAGTCATCCAGAATTCATATTAAAAATACACCCTTTTGACAACATAAACTAGATTAAAATATCTGATTGGTTGTTAGGAAGCATTTTTTTCTTAATTGGTTTACAAGGGGCCATTTCCTTGATTGTCAAGTCATTGACTCGAACAAAAAACTATTTTAATGCATTGCAAAGCATGGGAGCGTGGCCTTTACGTCAGACATTCCTCTTTTCAGGACGCTATAAAGGGTAAACTATAAATATTAGAGTTTTTTGTTACAAATATCCTTTGGAAGAATGAATAAGAAATGTTCATCTTAGTACAGCCGGAAACAATTTAAAAAGGATTATTAGGACATCGAATTTTACTAACATACTAATTTTTAGCTTTACTCTAATTTTTCACAAATAATCTCTGCCTTAGGCGTTTCATTGCTTGGGCTATTTATCGAATAACCTATTCTAAACCCAAATTGTGTTTCTGTATTTTTTTCTTCCATCCATTTTTCTAATGTAACACATTTTTACATATTGGCATTATTGTTTGTGCAGGTGGACAAAAAATATTGTTTATATTTCTTGGGGAAATCAGTGTTTTACGAAAAATAACACAAATTTCGCATACGCATAATACAAAAATGGCTATTTTCGAGGTTTATAGAAAATAATACAGAAAAGCAATAAAACTATCAATCGTGAACTAGATAACAAGAAAAATAAAATAGAAAATTAAGAAGTTTGCTTCTTTTATACCCCATTCTACGACTTTAAGAAACGTCCCTTGTAGCTAGGTAAGTACAATAAATGATTTCCCTAAATCCGTTGACTTTCGCGAAAGTAGGTATAACATCTAGAATGTTAAAAATGATTTTGTATCTGCAATTTTAATCAATCTAAATATACTTTTATGGGAATGAAACAAAATAGTATACACTAGAATAAGGAATGAAAGATAATAATATTGTTCAACCTTGGTAATTTTGTAACAGTTATTTAATTTTGATTTTAATATCATATTAAAATTATTTAATATTTTGAAAACTTACCTGTCATAATAAAATGCGTTAAAACTAAAGCACAATTCGTAGTAAATAATTTGGTGGCCGCCCTTTCAAGCATATCAAACGAACATCGAATATTAAACAAATCTAAACATAATTATATTCATTGCACTCAAATGTTAGCTTAACGTCCAATACAGCACTGAAAATTTCACACACAACTATTTTTAGTGTAAAGTGTATATAACGGAATTTAGTTGTTATACATAAACTGAATGTTTGTGTACATTTCCAGTACAAATTTATTTCGCACGATTTTTTGAGGACGAGCTATTTCCGTTTAAGCATTTCGGTATGTGACTGAAAACACTGAAAACTGAAAACTGTTGCTGGGATGCTATTTATTTCTACTTCGAGAAAACGTGTAACGAACAACATGTTGAGCTTCCGACATGTCTGGGTATTATTGGGAATTAGGGTGTCACGACGCAAGCGTTATTCCAATGGATGCACAACCAAGGGCGTCGAAACAGGGAATTATGGTCACCCTTATTGATCCTTAAGAATTTATCTTCTTGATGTTCATGTCCTTGCAAACACGATTTAAGAAGAATCTTTCTTTGTAGAATATGTTTTGGCTAGTTAAATTCATTTTTATATTTTTTATCATGGTTTCCTAAAACAAATAGGTGTTTTCAGTAGAGTTATACGAGGAATCTTCAACAATTACTTAAAAAATACAAATAACATTGTTCCGACTTTTACATTTTTCGAGGATCTCTCGCTAGTACTTAATTTCTAGACAAAATGTGTCTGTTCATATGCAACTTATTACATCCTTTATCTTTTACCAAATATCTTCCTCTGTCTTCTTATAGTTTATGTTGTGTACTGAATAGTCTTATTACTCAGGTGTGTATTGGCTAATTTTTCTATTACAACTTTCTACAAACTTGAAAATAACTGTAACGATAGTTTAATTTATTTAGAGTTTATTTATTTAAAACCACAATTTACAATTTATTTATGACGTACTAATTAATTTATATAATATTTAGGCACTAAGTCGCGCTATTCATACCAAGTCCAACTCTGTACGAGAAATTTCTAGACGATGTAGAATGTCCTAGAATTCCATTTCTATGACTCAACGGTCACGTATTGCTTCTTCTGGTAGGTTCCAGACGTCAGCGGTGTTTCGACGATGAGTCGAGTGGCAGGCTCAAGGTTGCGCTATACAGGGACGGCTTAGGCATTCCCATGACATAAATGTCTACGTAAGTTGGTGGCATGTGAAAAACTTTTTTATTATTCATATTAGGTAAAAAGTTATTCTTTATAAAAAGTTGTGCCTGGTCTAAAACCTAAAATCCAATCATCTGATATCAAATTTTATTAGTCGTATACGAGGTTTGTGAAAAATTAAAGTAGTGTGAAAATCGGTTTTAAAGTTCCGTAAACTTCCGTAAACTTCCGTAAATCTCCATATTACCCCTACGAAATAATGAAAATTATTCTAGAACCCCAAGGTGAAAACAAATTTATTGAAAAAAATTTAAAAAATTTGTCAGTGGGGGGATTTGAACCCACCTATCCGTATTCTACGCACACCGCTCTTAGGATAAATTGTAAAGGAGATTGAGAGACCATTAGAAATTAAAAATATATTTGATAGCTTCTTAACATTGACATTCGACTACTAATATTGTATAACTATATTTGCGCATTGCCGTGCAACACTTAACAATATCAAGGGATACTACAGTCAGTGAGTTTTCAAATTGTTAAAATCTTACATTTATCTGAAGCCCAGTTGATAAGAGCGGTGTGCGTAGAACACATATAGTTGGGTTCGAATCCCCTGTTGATATATTTTTCAATTTTTCCTTAAATTTATATTCATCATGGGTTTCTGATTACACATTTTCTTTTAAATACTAATGGAATGATTTTATTTTTACTACATAGTGCACTTAAAAACTAAATATTTTTTACAATATTTACAGTATTTCTCAAGGAAATGTGTTACTTAAGCCATTTTTACTTTCCTATCTGTATACAGATATAAGGAAAGTATAGGAATCATGATTTTTTCGACCTCCGGTTTTCAACGGATTTTTACGTTTTGGGGTCCCCTGAATCCGTTTTGACTATTTTCGTGTGTGTGTGTGTGTGTGTGTGTGTGTGTGTGTGTGTGTGTGTGTGTGTGTGTGTGTGTGTGTGTGTGTGTGTGTGTGTGTGTGTGTGTGTGTGTGTGTGTGTGTGTGTGTGTGTGTGTGTGTGTGTGTGTGTGTGTGTGTGTGTGTGTGTGTGTGTGTGTGTGTGTGTGTGTGTGTGTGTGTGTGTGTGTGTGTGTGTGTGTGTGTGTGTGTGTGTGTGTGTGTGTGTGTGTGTGTGTGTGTGTGTGTGTGTGTGTGTGTGTGTGTGTGTGTGTGTGTGTGTGTGTGTGTGTGTGTGTGTGTGTGTGTGTGTGTGTGTGTGTGTGTGTGTGTGTGTGTGTGTGTGTGTGTGTGTGTGTGTGTGTGTGTGTGTGTGTGTGTGTGTGTGTGTGTGTGTGTGTGTGTGTGTGTGTGTGTGTGTGTGTGTGTGTGTGTGTGTGTGTGTGTGTGTGTGTGTGTGTGTGTGTGTGTGTGTGTGTGTGTGTGTGTGTGTGTGTGTGTGTGTGTGTGTGTGTGTGTGTGTGTGTGTGTGTGTGTGTGTGTGTGTGTGTGTGTGTGTGTGTGTGTGTGTGTGTGTGTGTGTGTGTGTGTGTGTGTGTGTGTGTGTGTGTGTGTGTGTGTGTGTGTGTGTGTGTGTGTGTGTGTGTGTGTGTGTGTGTGTGTGTGTGTGTGTGTGTGTGTGTGTGTGTGTGTGTGTGTGTGTGTGTGTGTGTGTGTGTGTGTGTGTGTGTGTGTGTGTGTGTGTGTGTGTGTGTGTGTGTGTGTGTGTGTGTGTGTGTGTGTGTGTGTGTGTGTGTGTGTGTGTGTGTGTGTGTGTGTGTGTGTGTGTGTGTGTGTGTGTGTGTGTGTGTGTGTGTGTGTGTGTGTGTGTGTGTGTGTGTGTGTGTGTGTGTGTGTGTGTGTGTGTGTGTGTGTGTGTGTGTGTGTGTGTGTGTGTGTGTGTGTGTGTGTGTGTGTGTGTGTGTGTGTGTGTGTGTGTGTGTGTGTGTGTGTGTGTGTGTGTGTGTGTGTGTGTGTGTGTGTGTGTGTGTGTGTGTGTGTGTGTGTGTGTGTGTGTGTGTGTGTGTGTGTGTGTGTGTGTGTGTGTGTGTGTGTGTGTGTGTGTGTGTGTGTGTGTGTGTGTGTGTGTGTGTGTGTGTGTGTGTGTGTGTGTGTGTGTGTGTGTGTGTGTGTGTGTGTGCTGTGTGTATGTGTGTGTGTGTGTCAGTCTATGTGTGTGTGTGTGTGTGTGTCAGTCTGTGTGTGTGTGTCAGTCTGTGTGTGTGTGTCAGTCTATGTGTGTGTCAGTCTGTGTGTGTGTCAGTCTATGTGTGTGTCAGTCTGTGTGTGTGTCAGTCTGTGTGTGTGTCAGTCTGTGTGTGTGTCAGTCTGTGTGTGTGTCAGTCTGTGTGTGTGTGTGTGTGTCTGTATCCACCATAACTCATAAACCGATACAAAGAAAAACACCGAATTTGAAACTTAAGCTTTATTCCAGCCTGCGGTGAATTGATTAGATTTTGGACAGAGTCGGAACATTTGGGGGGTACTTTACTAATGGTCATTTTTATATTTTATTGAATATATTCGTTATTTACGTTTGGAGAAGAAAATTCTTTAAATAAAAGTTACTTATAATATAATTATCTATAATTTTTGTTTTTTACAAAATTTTCCAAAAATGGTCCGTATTCGAGAAATTTGACAAAATGTAAAAAAAATAATTTTTTATAAAAATTGTTCAAATAAAAGTTGTTTGTAATATAATTCTCTATAATTTTTATTTTATACATAATTTCTCTAAAATGGACCATATTCGAGATATTTGAGAAAATGTGTAAATTTCGAATTTTGAAGAAAACTCAAAAACGGATAAAGAAAAAACATTAAATTTTAAACTTAAGGTTTACTTCGGCCTGACGTGAAATGATTAGATTTTGGATAAAGTCGGAACATCTGGGGGGTATTTTATGGGAGGCCGTTTTTATATTTTATGGAATATATCTGAAATGGTCCGTATTCTGATTTTTATGAAAATTGTTGAACTAAAAGTTGTTTGCGATATCGATATCTATAATTTTTGTTTATACATGATTTTTCTAAAATGGACCGTAATGGAAAAGTGCTAAATTTAAATTTTTCAGTATTTTCGTTTTCAATTAATATCTATAGAAAAATGTTTCGAGATAGATGTATGTGGCCAATGTATATATTTAGTTTATCCTCTAAACATTTATAGAGATACTGCAATAGGTTGTACAAAATAAACGGAAAAAGCCTATAAGAACTAGATAGGAAAGTCATGTGTTGGACACATCAGATTTTTTAGGTAAGAGTTATATTACATGATGTCGAACGAAGCGTCGCCTTTTTAACACCGCACAACGCTTCGATGCGATTTCTTTAAAAGGTACTGAAGCTCTGGCGTGAAGGAGACCAGCCGTTAAGCGGGCTTAAGCGTCACGCTTGACGTTGACCAATTAGGAAGTACATAATGCCTGTGTCGCTAACCAATGAAAGTGATTGCCGCGTATGGATTACCAATGAGAAGTGGACAAGATGCCTGTGACGTAGTTAATTGTTGGGAGACCTTTCTTATTGGCCAAGGCAGTGCCGCTTACAGAGACGTCTCCAGGAGTAATAAAAAATTAAGAAACAAAACTAGTATATATTTGATGAAATACTGAGAACAACGACGAATTCAACTTGTTGAAATGTAATTCAAAAATAATTTTAAAAAGTAAGTCAAAATCATCTAAAAATAAGTGCAACTATTTAAACTTTATATTTTTTTTAATTCTATATACATATCCTTTTTTATTAATAGTTAAACAAGTTTGTAAATATCTTTTTTATTTAATATGTTGTGGAAAAGTAAAATATTTTTATATAAAAATATAAATTATATTCTTCCACTAAATTGTCATATAAGTATTTATATTACATTACAGCATAAATTCAAATATTTCCAAGCCACAGGTGATTACAATAAAATATTTTTTATCACCTTTGCATAAATAATAAACCAACATAATAAAAATGTATTAGGTATACATATCTATGTTAACAGAAGGGATGTTTCATCCTTAGTAAAAAGATCTGCTACTTTTTAAATGGTTTAATTCACGATTAAGTATTCTCAAAATATAATGATGGTGTGGTACTGCCACTATCAATTCGAGTACTGCATACTGCGCTGGTCTTTCTTCTCCCGCTCGTTCATCCTGACACGCAATTGTATGGACTTCGAGATTGTGTAGTAGGAAGCAGATACATACCGCTAAATCTGGACAAAAAAACTTTTTTTTTATACAAAACAAAAGTTA